GAGGAGGAGGAGGAGGAGGCGGAGGCGGAGGCGGAAGCGAAGGCGGAGGCGGAGGCGCAGGCGAAGGCGGAGGCGGAGGCGGAGGCAGAGGCGGAGGCGGCGGCGGAGGAGGGGGAGGAGGAGGAGGAGGAGGAGGAGGAGGAGGAGGAGGAGGAGGAGGAGGAGGAGGCGGAGGCGGAGGCGGAAGCGAAGGCGGAGGCGGAGGCGGAGGCGGAGGCAGAGGCGGAGGCGGCGGCGGAGGCGGAGGAGGGGGAGGAGGAGGAGGGGGAGGAGCAGGAGGAGGAGGAGGAGCAGGAGGAGGAGGAGGAGAATCATCACGAAGCGGCAGCACTACGGCACATCAATCAGGCCTGTCTCTCGCGCGAGCCACGTTTGTGCGCGGGCGCACGGCATTTCTCACGCGATCCACGTTTGGGCGGGCGCGCGGCTGTTCAACACGTGTCCACGACCATGGGTTTTGCGCAATTTTGTTATCTAGCCTTTTTTGTGTGGCTGAAGTTTGCGTGCAGATCTGTGGGGCGGCTGAAACAACTGGTTTGGGTGGTGCTCGATGTGCAGCGACGCGTCATGAAGTTCAACGCTACGGCACGCCTGCTTGGGCGTGCCCCCGCGCTAATTATGATAGAATGGATGACCGTTGCGCACGCGTTGCGCAGTTTGATATTCGACAGGATTTTGGCGAGCCTGGACCCAGACAGCATCTCACCGTATATTTCAAATACATGTGATGCAAGCCATCCAGCTGCCTGCGACACACCCCGCCACCACGTCTGTACAACAGCGCTGTAGGAACAACGCAATTCCGACACGTGCTGAGCTTTGTGGGGCGTCTGTCCGACTTCAGCGGCGGCGGGCGGCTGTCCGACCTAAAGCTGATGGAGATTGGAAATTTGCTTGCCCCTTTCTGGGGTCACTCGAGGCAGCGACAAGGACGAAGAATGAAAGGGAGGAGGAGGAGGAAGAGGAGGAGGAGGAGGAAGAGGAAGAGGAGGAGGAGGAGGAGGAGGAAGCGGAGGCGGAGCGGGAATACGAGGTGGATCGTGGTGCAGGGGGATGTCCAAGGAGGAGGAAGTGGAGGAGGAGGAGAAGATCAAGGCGGAAGAGGGATGACGAGTGATGATGGGATGATGAGGAGAAGGCGTGCACAGGAGAAGAGGGACGATCAGCGAGGGATGGACACGACACTCACATTGATTTTCGGAACTCCGCGCGGATGTCTTGGATCGGCATGGGATACCCCCGCGCTCCGCGGTGCGGGTCCGGCGCTTATCCAAGGAATCCGCGCGGACCTCAGAAAGTTGTTGTTTATTCCATTACGCGTGCCTCGAGATGAGGACAAAGGAGGAAGAGCAGGAATGAGGCTCCTTGTCGCGCCGGCCCTGCCCCGCACCAAGGGTGGCGCCAAGCGCGACCCTGCCTCGCGGACCCCCGCCGAGTTAGAGGCCTTCCTGAGGGAGGCGGACCCAGAAGGCGCGGGCGCGCGCGCGCGCGCGGCGGGGCGTTCTGGGTGCCCACAGGTGTCGAGAATGCCGCGCCTGTTTTCTCGTGTGCCGATTTCCCGCCTGCAGGCCGGTCGCTGGAGCAGGTGTTGCCGCCCTGCTTCGATGGTCCAGGGGCCTTCTCCTTGCTCTCCTCTTGCACGGGCTGGGCATGCGCCCCGCCGGCGTCTGGAACGGCCTGCCCTGCTTCGGGTCTCCGCCCACCCGCGATGGGCCTGTGCCGCTGTCGCAGGTCGGCTGGCCTTGCATCGGCGACTACACAGGCCGGAGGCCTAGGGGTTGACACCAGCACCAATATTCGGGAGCCTCGAGACGGGGGTCAATGCAAACGGGGGTCAGCCAGGGCACCGGATGCTGCAGGATCCTGCGAAGACCCCCTCTGGCTGACCCGGGTTAGCGAGCCGCTCGTGGCCGCCAGGCGGCCGCGCATATCGGCTGACCCGTGTTTGCGAAGACCTGCGTTTCAGTTTTTTCCCTGCATTGCAGTTTTTGGTTTCCTGCTGACCCGGGTCTGGACTGAGTTGGGTCAGAAGATCCTCCGATGGGCCTCCACCGAAGAGAGATGATCCCGATCTCGGCGATGGTGGTACTAGTTCGGGCTTCCAAGGTGGCCGCAAGATTACCACCAACACCAAGATCTAGGATCGCCTTCCCTTGGTCTAGGCCTCCCAGATTGGGTCCGAGTGGATGGGTCGGACGATCGCGCCGCATCGCCGATACATCCGCGATGCGGCTCGATGTGGAGCCCGATGTGCTTCACGTCGACGTCGCCGATGCATCGCCGACGTCGACGATGCATCGCCGGTGTATCGCCGATGAATCGCCGATGTATCGGCGCTTTATCGGCGATGCGGCGCGATCCTCCGACCCCATCTACTCCGACCCCATCTAGGAGGCTTCTACTTGGTGGAGGCAACCCTCGGTGTTGGTGTTTCAGCCAGTGGCGAAGCGTCCAGGCTGGCATATAGGCCGACCAAAAACGGTTCTAAGAACCTTTTGTGGTTTGCACGACATGTTCTTAGAACATTTCCGGCTGGGACTGTGGTGTTTTATTACATTGGGGGTCTTCTGAGAACACGGTTTTTGTTCTTAGAACACTGCTTGGTTCTACGAACATTTCATGGTAGGCCAATAGGAATGCCGGGACGGTCGGTCCCTGCTCAAGGTGTTGGTGCCCATTTCTGAGCCTCCAAGAAGGGTGCGGCTACGCCAGGGTGTGCTCTGCGATCGGCGACGCTGGGGGCCCGGGAGGGGCACGACGCGCTTCTCGTCGGGCCTCCTGCGCGGGCGCGGCGGCGAGCCCCGTCGAGGTCCCCGCCCGCGCGCCAGGGTGAAGTCGGGCGTGTCCGTCTACAGGAGGAATATTCAAGCATAGTCTGGGAACCACGTTTTGAGTATTTGCTGCTGCTTTTTTTTGGGGGGGGGTAAGTTTAGAGTATACTTTATTTGTCGCCCGAAATCCGCCCCTCGGGGGACACGCCCGACCTAACGCCAGGTTGCCCCCTCAGCGGGTCGGTTGCAACCCACACCCTTTGCAAGGCACACCTTCGGAGTCGCCGATTCCAGACCCTGCCGGCGTCAGTGCTCGCTGGATTCGAAGAAGAGCTCCGCGCGGATTTCTTGGTTCTGCGCTGGGGACCCCTGGCGGCGCCTCCAGCGCCGCCCCTAGTGCGCTCTGCGCGCCAGGGAGGGGGTCCAGCGCAGATCCAAGAAACCCGCCGCGGAGCGCCAACAGCTTATGTTTACGGCTTTTTTTGTGTGATTATTCTATGGATTCAGCTACGCGCCGACGTCGTCGAGCCGGGTCTGCTGCACTCCCCTAGAAGACACTTAAGGGAAGGGAGAGGAGCGCAGCTGCGGTCCAGGCGAGGCGGCGCGTTCGGCGGAGGTCTCCCCTGTGGTCGACGGGCGTGCTCGGCGAGGAGGGCAGTGCGGACCTAGGTCGCGAACGTCTGCAGTCAGCGCGCCCGGTAAGGGCGCGCGTCCTCGTCCAGGGTGCCCCTGGTGTCCCTGCCACTGCGGTCTGTCCTTTGCAGTTTTCACTGGCCGCCCGCCGCCCAAGAGTTCGGCCCCCCAGGGTCTTGCGTCCTGACCACCCGTCCTGAAAATAGACGTTTTGGCTGCAGCCCACCTGGCCCAAGGGCTCGAGCCAGGAGGGGGAGGCGGGGGAGGGCAAAGGCGGGAGGTACGGGAGGCCAGGGGGAGGGGAGGAGTGCGGAAAGTGCAGAGACAGAGGGAGAGGGGAAGCCCATCGGCGGTGTCGACCCCCCTCTGGCTCTCGCACTTGTGGCCCTTCCCCATATCATGCTTCTCACTTCACGTCCCCCTCCTCCTCCTCCTCCTCCTCCTCCTCATTATCATCCTGTTCATTTCATCTTCCTTAGCGTTGTCGTCGTTCTCCTGATCATGCTTCCTCCTATACCCCCCCCTTCCTCTTCGTTCCTCTTCCCCCGCCCCTCCTCCCCACTTCCGTACTTCTCCCTTCCCTTGCTCTCCTTTTCCCCTTCCCTTCCTCCCTCGCCTCCTCGCTCCTCCTCGCCATCGTCCTCAGATTCCTTCTTCTCGATTCCTTATTCCTTTTTCCTCGGCTCGTATGTAGCCGATGTTAGACGGAAGTGCGAGACTTGTTCGCTCGTTCGATTGTTTCTTCGTCCTCCTTTCTCCCGTCATCTCCATCCCTCCTCCCTCCTCTCTCCTCCCTCCTCTCTCCTCCCTCGCTCCCTCCTCGCGCCGCATCCCTCCCTCCTTCTCCCCTCCTCTTCCCCTCCTTCCTCCCTCCTCCCTCTCCGTGGCCATCTTGGCTCAAGTTTTCGAGCTTTCCTCTGCGAAACCAGTTGAGGCCCGTGGTCCGCGGCTTGCTTTCGTTGTCGCATGGTTCGCCTCAGGCGGAGCGCTGAGTGGTCTGCCAAAAACAGAGCGCGTCCGTCCAGAGCCAACAACCAGGCTGTGCGCTGGTCTGTGGCGCCTCGCTCTCGTGCTCTGCTGCGTGCAGCCGTGGGGCGCAAGCAGCGGCGTGATGCGGCAGTGCCTTGGGTACTACAGGCGGGGCACTCACAAGCCGCCAGGGGCCCCTTGGATCAACAGGTCTGATCACGTGGTGTTCGCAGCGCAGACTTCCGAAGGGGTCGGCGTTTATGGGGGTGCCAGCTCCCAGGAATTTCCAGTGCCGGGGGCTCCGGAGCTTGCAACCCGGCGTGAGGAGGAGTTGGCCCATTGACGGGGAGCCTTGTGCAAGCAGATGGTGCAGCTCTCCAGGGCGGCACGGATTCCAGTCCTGCCCCTCCTCGGGCTGCGGGCACCAGTCCCGAGCAGAGCAGTCCTACCGTGTCCAAAGAGAGGGCGCATCGAACATATTGCTAGCATGATCAGGAAAGTGGGTCCTGCTGACACTGCCCTCCAGGATCAGCTCAGTCAAGGTCGGCAGCAGCTACAGACTGCCATGAAGCAAACTTGCAGTAACAACCTGGCCGCGGCAATCGGGTCTGTGGAGAAAACTTAGATGGCGGTGCAGGCAGCAGAAGCAGCGGAGGTCGAAACTGCGTCACACGTTATTGTGTTGGAGGAACAGCTCTGCGTGGATGTCGTCGCTTTTACGGATGCTTAGAAGAAACCGATCTTGTCTCTTCTCTTTTACCGCGCCTGGAAGACCCTGTGGCTCATGTTGCTGATGTTGTCCAGTCTCTTGGTGGCGAGCGTTTCGCAACCGACTTGGCAGCTATGGCAGCGACGGTGGCCAAGCTCAAGGCGGAGCCTGGCATCGCGGCCTCGCAGCCGCCGCCGCCCATGGCAAGTGAGGCAGCTGCCTGAAGGGGCTGCCAGTGGGAGCGACGGCGCTGGTGCAGCTGGCGGAGACGACGAAGGCGGCAACAAACCAGTTGACTTTGCCAAGCAGGCTAACGGTTGACGGGCTCGATGGTTCGACTTGCCGAGACCATCTCAAGGCGGCTGGCGTTGTTGTGGACGGCCTTGTGCCATCCAGCACTGACGATGAATACCTCAAGTGGGTGCAAGATCAGCTCGAGAGATATTCGGCCATCGCCAGTTCAGTCGCCACGAAGGTCAAGACTGACTTGAAGTAGAAGGGTGGTCCGTGGCCGAAGGTTTCGTTTCAGACTTCCGATCGTTGCATGGATGGCGACGCTCAGCTCAATTGGCGATCCCGAGATCGATGTTTCCATCTTCGAATCCGAGGACCACGTTTGCACCGAGGCCCCTACCGCTAGCCGACAAAATCACGGACTCAGCGTCCCCCGCGTATTTTCTAACCCGCTCTCTGGTGGTACTTCTGCTGGCAGCAAGGTTAATTGATTGGGTGGTGCTCGTTTTTTGTTTTTTTCCCAGCCGGCCTGCCGCCTGCGACTTGTCTCCTGGCGATGGAGAACTCGTTGCCCCGCGCGTCCTTCTGCTCCCGGTGGCGTCGGTGTTTGGAGCTGGCGGTCTGCGTCGCAAGTGCGTTTAGCTGGTCGCATGTGTTCGGCGCGCGTAACGGGTGGAAAGGCCGCTCACCAGCAACTGGCAACCCTCTGCCCGCGGGCCAGAACAAATCGCCGCGCGCTCGCAACGGGGCGCGGGAAAAAAGGGGCTCGGGAAGGGAGCGCGAATCTCATTCCCAAGAAGTCCCTTCGATTTGCAGCAAACAATTTTTTCCATTCATCTGCCGCGCGGCCAACAGAACGATCGAACAACTGTCTCGACGCGCAGTGTTAGCTTCGCTTGCGCGCATCCTTGCTTCCTTCCGTTGGTTCCTTCGCTCTTCTCGCCCTCTTCTTCTTTTTCCTCTCCCCCTGCTTTGCCTTGTCCCGCCCCCCCTTTCCTTGCCAGCTCGGCGCTGTCACCGCGCGCGAAGAGCGCAAACCAGAGGGCGTTGCTGTAATTCCTTTGTGTGCCACGAAGTCTCGTGCAATTCCTTTGGGCACGGTCTTGGTGCGCTGCCGGCGCGGGGGGCGCGCGGGAATTTCCTTCGCGTGCGAT